AGGACATTCATTTCTCCAGCACAGATTCTTATCCCTTCAGCCTCCTCACTCCATAACCCCATCCCTCTTCCCGTTCCAAACCATAGAGCTTGAAATCGGTCAAGTCCTTCGTTCCAGTTGAACACAGAACACCAGAGCAAATCCAGGTCTTTCAGAAACCCCTAGGAAATAGTGCAAGTACAGACCGCAGTATACAGAGATTGGCCTTAAGGATCTCTTCTTTACTTGTTTGTTTTGTTTGTTTGTTTGTTTGTTTGTTTATAACTGCCAGAGGGTACATGTGCTCACTAGACAGACAGAGAGAGGGAGAGGAAGAATGTACCCCTCAATGGGGGTGGATTTGGGGCATACATGCACATGTACCCACATATTTTTTCAAGCCACCAGGGCTGGGATTTAAACTGGGGCTGGCCAGGTGGGATCTGGCTCCCTTAAAAACTAAACTACGGGACCAGCCCAGAATCTTATTTTCAAATTCAACATTTTTTCCATAGAAACACTACTGCATGAGACCAGCAGATGGCACAATGGCTACGTCGCTGGACTCCCGTGTAGTTGAACACAGTTTGAGTCCTGGACCCAGTGGCTTAAACTCATGCCAGGCGTGTGTGCGTGCCTGCCCAAGATCCCAAGATCCCAAGAGGAGAATGGAGGAGAAGGGATTGCGGTGTGGCCATCCCCCCTGAGGGGTGATTTCTCACTTTCTGTCTCTCTGTCTCTCTCTTTCTTTCTGGTGAGTGCACATGCCCTATAGCAAAAACCTCTCAGGAAAAAAAAAAAACCTCTCAGAAAAAAAAAAAAAAGAAAGAAAAGAAAAGAAGAAAGAAAGAGAAAGAAAGAAAGAAAGAAAGAAAGAAAGAAAGAAAGAAAAAGACTACTGCACATAGAATTCAGTGTTAATAGTCATGATGATAGCAGTAATAAAACATCCATCTTTGAAGCATCTTTTGTGTCATCTCTTCAGGGGAGCACAGGGTCTGTCTCTCCCCTATAAAGGATGACAACCAAGGAGCAGAGATGAAGTGGGCCTGTCCACTTAGCCTTGTGTTCTCATAACTGGTGAAACGGGCTTTGGTGGCCCGTCCTGGAGACAGAATTTTCAGACTCCAGTCTGTCCATTAGTTCAAAGCAGCTAGTCATGCTTTTGGCAAGAACTGCCATTTTCCTATAATTCACCAAAATGATCAACACAAAGGAAAGGAGAAGGCACCCAAAATGTGTTCTCTAGGCCCTTTAGAAAACATGGAATGGGGGACCAGCAGATGGCCACCAGACCCCTCCATGCTCGACCATGGCTCAAGTTCCAGACCTGGCAGCTTCAAACTTACACTGGGCGAGAGTGCATGTGTGCCCAAAACCCCGAGAGGAGACTGAGGAGAAAGGACTGCTGCATGGTCATCCCCCGGGGGATGATTTCTCACTTTCTGTCTCTCTGTCTCTCTCTGTCGCTCTGGCAGGTGTATGTGCCCTATGGCAAAAATCTGTCTAAGAAAAAAAGAAAAGAAAACATGGAGTGGTTCTTTTGGCAACATACATGTGAATCTACAAGAAAGGTGATATTGTAGACATCAGAAGAATGAGTATTGTTGAAAAGGAATGCCCCACAAATGTTACCATGGCAAACTTGCAAGAGTCTACAATGTTACTCAGCGTGCTGTTGGCACTGCTATAAACAAACAAGTTAAGGACAAGATTCTTGTGAGAGAATTTGTGTGTACTGAACATATTTAGCATTCTAAGGCAGAGATACCTTCCTAAAACATGTGAAGAAAAATGACCAGAAAAAGAAGGAAGCCAAAGAGAAATGTATCTGGGTTCAACTGAGGCGCCAGGCTGCTCCCCCCAGAGAAGCACACTTTGTGGGAACCAATGGAAAGGAGCCTGAGCTACTGGAACCTATTCATAGCATGATGGGTGTTGAAAATAAATAAACTCTGGTCTATAAAAATATTTTTCTTAATTGAGTAAAATTCGTGTTCTCTCCCCCAAAGCAAATTTTAATTAGGCTTTAATTCAGTTGGTAATATCTTTATTCAAATTCAGTGTTTTTCTAGTTGAAAGATGCAAGGTGGCTTATTATTCAACAAATAAAACTAAGTTTAGAAAATGATAAAAAAAAAAAAAAAGGCAGCTAGTAATTATTAACTCTCCAAACACCTAGTCATTATTAACTCTCCAAACACCCTTTTTTAATCATGGGGACTTTTTAATCTAGCCACTGGTTAGAATCTAGGGTATTAGCATAAATACAAAAAAGTCAGATCTAGCTTTAGTGCAACACTGGATTTCTCCTGGCTCTTGGAAGACTAGCTAACAGTGACGGAAAGGAACTAAGCCAAGTTTATAGCTACTTTGTTTTTTTCACGGAACATTTAACACTGTGCACAAAACACTGTCTTGCTTTTCTAGGGAGGATAACAAAGAATATACTTGCAAGTATATCTTTCTTGGTAAGGTTATTTTTTTACCCCTTACTTCCAGTAAGTATAGCTGAGGTTAAAAGCTCAGGATCTGGAGTCATATTTCCTCCTAAAGAAACAAAACTTTTAACTTATCTAATCAATCAGAAGACTCAGACGGACAGTCCTGCCATTTACTACCTGGACAGCCTTGGGCAATTTACATAACCACTGCATGCCTCAGTTTACTTGAGACACTAATGATTCCTACCTCACCAGGAGGTGAGAATTGAATAGGACTGGCACAGAGTAAATGCCATGGAATGCTGGCTATTAGCACAAGGCACTAAGCTGAGAGGAGCTTGAGGACACTAAGCTCCACTCATGCCTTCAAGGCCGAGGAACTACTGGGCTAGAAGGGCCTATGGGCAGCTTATTACAGTAAAAAACAAAACCAAGAGAGCAGCAGATGGCATAATGGTTATGTTGCTTGTCTCCCATGTAGTTGACCCTGGTTCAAGTCCAGGACCCAGAGACTTCAAACTCGTGCTGGGCTCATGTGTGTGCATGGCCAAAATCCCAAGAGGAGACTGGAGGAGAAGGAACTGCAACATGGCAATCCATCCTGGAGGATGATTTCTTGCTTTCTGTCTCTCTGTCTCTTTTTATCTCTCCAACGAACGCATGTACCCTACCGCAAAAGTCTCCCTTTAAAAAAAAAAAAAAAAAAAAGAAGAAAGAAAAAGAAAGAAAAACAAAATAAAACCAAGGATTAAATAGAATCATCCTTGGAGGAAGGAGGGGCTTTTCTGTCTGGGAGAACAGGGAAGGCTCTCTGATAGAATTTTTGCCTGTTAAAGAGGGTTGTAAAGAAGGAATGGGATTTCAGTAAGAAAGGGCTGGGGGACATTGAATGATGAGTCCTGGGAGCAGATGTGGAGATGAGAAGAAACCCTCCAGGCTTTCACAAACCTTATCATTCACCCCAGGCTTTGAAAAGACCTAAAAAATCAAGGATCCTATCCTAGGTTTTAAAAATGTTATAAATACAAAATGTTGGAGTTATGCTAACATATCAAATGAATATAAAATTTAAAACCATAGATGATACTTTTTTGCGAGAAGATACATACAAAATAAAAATGAATTTTTTTAGAAATTATGTTTTAATTAAAGTAAGACAAACTTTTTTTTAAGGATTAAGAATTTATAGAAAGAAAAATTTTTAAGAATTCATAGAAAGAAAAAAAGTTGATCATGGGGGGGGGGGCATGGTCAACCATGGTCAACTGTACAGATAGATTCTGGACCCAGCAGCTTGAAAACATGACAGGCATATGTGTGTGCATGCCCAAAATAGAAGAGAAGGGATTGTGGCGTGGTTATCCCCCCCGCCCCCACCCCCGGGGTGATTTTTCATTTCCCTCTCTCTGTCTCTGGTGAGTGCATCCACCCTGTATAGCAAAACACTTTTTTAAAGTTAACCATAAAATCTATGTACAGAGGGCCAGGAGGTGGCATGGTTGTTAAGACACTATACTTCCACATAGTTGAGTTTGAATCCTGGACCTGGAGGCTTGCTTTCTTGCTTTCCTTGTCTCTCTTT